ACTCTATATTCTACTCTACATTCTATTCTATTTTCTATACATTCTGTTCTATTTTCTACTCTACATTCTATTCTATATTCTACTCTACATACAATTCTATTTTCTATCCTACATTCTATTCTATTCTATTCTATTCTACTCTATATTCTACTCTACATTCTATTCTATTTTCTATACATTCTGTTCTATTTTCTACTCTACATTCTATTCTATATTCTACTCTACATACAATTCTATTTTCTATTCTACGTTCTATTCTACTCTATATTCTACTCTACTCTACATTCTATTCTATTTTCTATACATTCTATTCTATTTTCTACTCTATATTCTATTCTACTCTACTCTATTCTACTCTATATTCTATTCTACTCTACATTCTATTCTATTTTCTATACATTCTATTCTATATTCTACTCTACTCAACATTCTACTCTATTCTACTCTATATTCTATTTTACTCTACTCTACATTCTATTCTATTTTCTACTCTACTCTACATTCTATTCTATTCGACTCTGCTCTATATTCTACTCTACATTCTATACTATTCCATTCCATTCCATTCCATATTCATTTATTCTGTCATGGTTATGTAGTATATATTGGTGGTTGTGACTCTTTGAAAGCTGTATACAACGAAATTTCATTTTAATGTATGCCGATGAGTGTACATTCCGACTGACAGTAAAGTTATTCTAAGACAAAAGGCAACTGGACTTTCTTGTTTTCTTTTCCCCTTGAAAACGTTTCGCTTCTCATCCAAGGAGCTCCTTCGGTTCTAACGTCTCCTTGGATAAGAAGCAAGGTGTTATTAAAGACGAAAAACATCCTCCTAATTAAACTTGGCAGTTGAATAGGAAGGGATGCCACCTTGAATGCAGCCCGCCTCTCTGCTGAGCACATGACTACCTTGTCTCCTTCCATCCAGGGCGTGACCTCCATCCTACCTATGCTACGGGAGGGCGTCCTGACCGGCAACTCCGACCAGAAGGAAGAGGCGGCCAAAGCTTTGGGCTTGGTCATTAAGCTGACCTCCGCCGAAGCTCTGAAACCATCCGTCGTCAGCATTACCGGGCCCCTGATTCGGATCCTGGGAGATCGGTTCAGCTGGAACGTTAAGGTGGCTTTGTTGGAAACTTTGAGTCTTCTCCTGGCCAAGGTAAGCGAGGAAACGCTGGGAAGGAAATCCCCAAAGAACAGAGCCTTTATACAATTAATAGTGGTTTATATATACATATATACACACATACACAGTAGATAAATCCCTCACCACTCAGCTAAGGGCACAAGGAGAGAAATGAGATACACGCCGAGAGAGAAAAACACCCTCTAATAGCCACCTATATATAGACACCTCTTAAAACAGTAAATGACTTGTGTGGACCTCATCAGAGTCGTAAACTGGTTATACTTCTGTTGCTGAATGCCGTATTCCAAGTGTGGCCTTACCAAGGCCTTATAAGGCAGTATTAACACTTCACATGATCTTGATTCTATCCTTCTGTTGATGCAGCCTAGAACTATAATAAATAAATAAATAAAATAAATAAATAATAAATAAATAATAAATAACTGTGTTGGCTTTTTTGGCAGCTGCTGCACACTGCTGGCTCATATTTAAATGGTTGTCCACTAGGACTCAAAGTTCCCTCTCACAATTACTACTATTGAGCAAGGTGCCACCTATACTGTACCTGTATATTTAGAATTTAGAATTCCTAAATTTACATCTGAGGTGGTGGAACTAGGGGTAGCTTTGTTGATCGGCTAGCAGTTACAAGCAGAACACAAGCAGGAGAGAACAGGTTCATTCAGAGTTCAGAGCAGACAGGGCCAGACAGACTGCTAGTTTACTTCTCAGAGCAGCAGACTGCTTAAGTTTCTGTTTCAATTCTCTGCACACACTCAGATCTGTTTNTGAGCAGGGGGTTGGACTAGAAGACCTCCAAGCCCCCCTTCCAGTTCTTTTATTTTGTCATTCTGTCATTGATGGATGTTTCCTCGTGTGATGGAATTCTGCTTCCTTTCCTAGAAATTAGACGCCGGCAGCCAGCTGGCCCTCATAGATGACCTCCACAGGGATATCCGTATCGTTGGCAACGATGCCGCTGGAGAACACGTGCCTGGATTCTGCATTCCCAAGAAGGTAACAGCAGGGGGCAGACAAGGCTCCGAGCATCATCGTTTTATTGTTGTGGGGATGGTCACCCTGTTGGATGGCTGTAGCATGAACACTGGGGGCCATCCCCTGAAGGGACCTTCCCGTCCCACAGCATACTTTGTCCCAAACTTGTCCTAAAGGTGCTTTTCTTAAGGTGTGTTGTTTCTCTGGGTCGTATAATCTATGGGGGTGTTTGCATAATTATTTTATTTATTTATTTATTGGCCATGTTTGGTGTAGTGTATATTGGAGGTGGTGACCCTTTGAGAGCTGTATGCAACGAAATTTCATTTTAACCTATGCCGATTAGTGTACATTTAATGTGACAAAGTTATTTGTTCTGCATTCTACTCTACTCCACTCCACTCTATTCTATTCTATATTCTATTCGATTCTGCTCTATTCTTCTCTATATTCTATTCTATTCTACTCTACATTCTATTCTATATTCTACTCTACTCTATATTCTATTTTCTATTCTACATTCTATTCTATTCTACTCTACTCTATATTCTAGTCTATATTCTACTCTACTGTACATTCTATTCTATTCTACTCTATATTCTATTCTATTCTACTCTACTCTATATTCTATTCTATTTTCTACTCTATATTCTATTCTACTCTATTCTACTCTATATTCTATTCTACTCTACATTATATTCTATTTTCTATACATTCTATTCTTTTCTACTCTACATTCTATTCTATATTCTATTCTACTCTACATTCTATTCTATTCTACTCTATATTCTATTTTACTCTACTGTACATTCTATTCTATTCTACTCTATATTCTATTTTACTCTACTCTACATTCTATTCTACTCTACTCTACATACTATTCTATTCTACTCTACATACTATTCTATT